GTCAATCTCTGATCACCCCAATCCTTATATTGATGGTTGTGTGCCCTTCCGCTATCTACATCCCACAATTGTCAGCTCAGAACAATATGAAACATACAGCAGGACCACAATAAAAACATTAGGGATTAAGGAACCAGGAATATGTCCCCACCCCCCCCAACCTACTTCCTTGGCACCATCAAATAGCTCTGGTGCCTCCTAGCACCCTGGGCCCAAGCTCCGACCTCCACTTCTTGGTTGAAAATCATGGGAAGTGACTCTCTTATAAAGTAGGAGAAATTAAAAAGACTGTGTACCTTCTATGGTAACTAGTCTGGTTCTAAATAAATACTAAGCATCCTGGAGTTAAATAGGCTTTCTTCTCCTTTTCCTCCTCCTCTTTCTTCTTCTTCTCCTTCTCCATCTTCTCCCTCTTCTTTGCCTTCTCCTCCTCCTTCTTCTCCTCTTCCTCTTTCTTCTCCTCTTCCTCTTCCTTCTCCTCCTCCTACCTCTTCTTTACCTTCTCTTCCTTCATCTCCAATTCCTCTTCCTTCTCCTCTTCTTCCTCCTCCTTCACCTTCTCCTTCTCCTCCTCCTCCTCTTCCTCCTCCTGCTCTTCTATGACTCCTTTTTGTTCTTTTCTTGCTTTTTTAAAGTGACTTATCTTCTGATTTAGCCAGCTTATTGACCAAATCCAGTCTTTCCTGAACTTCCCCTTCATGCCTTTTGTATCTACTTTATCCTTGCTGCAGGCCCCTTCCTCCATGAAGCCTTCTCTGAATCCCCACCCCCACTCCCGTCACCACCACCAAGTAGGTGTGAGCTGATTTTTCACAAACTTTACAATACCTGATACAAATATCTGCAATTATGTCAACCTCAAAAACTGTACTGTGAGATTCTTGAGAGTGAGACTCTGATCTTTCTTACGCATGAATAAAAGTGGCAGACCTTTGGTGCTTCTTGGTCATGTTTCCTTAGGAACAAGTCTTTTGTTTGCTGATTGGTTGACCTGTAATTGGGAAATCATGAGTGTTGTTAGATAAAGGGTTGCCTGTTAACATACTTTTCTTCTTGCTCTTTCTACATTCTCCAGTGTTTATGTAACGATTGTCTTCTTGATTCAAAAGATCTCTAGCAATTCATCTGCCTCACAGGCATGGGGGGGGGGGGGTTATTGGGGTTCTTCGTGGTGAAAAATAAGTATTGGTAAATGGAAATGTGTTTGATATTTGCATGACCGAGACCTAAACCTGAAAGCTTTGTAACTTTTCCCACAGTGATTCAATAAATAAATAAATTATTAAAAAAAAAAGATCTCTAGCTTGGGAGCAGATTTTTTCTGGGGAGTAACGAGTGGCCAATCAAGTCTTGCTCTCATTCTACCACTCTGCCTTGCTTGAGAAAACAGGAGATCAGATCTCCATTTATTCTTCAAGCACTTATCTGGGTGACAATCCTGTCCCAGACCCTGCTTGGGCCATACATTAAAGAAATAGAAATGTTATGTTCTTACCTTCTCTGTATTGCTCTACGTAGTACTTTCTAGACTTCTTTCATTCACTGATCTGAAAGTAAAAGTGAAGCATATTTGGTCTATAGACTACTTTTAGCATGCTTCTCCCACCCTGGGAGGGTCCTCACAACACCCTTCATTTGGTACTCTCTTCTCTATCTGAGCTTCCTTTTCACCTAGAACGTGTGGCTGGCCTTCCATTCATGGAGCAAAATTCCTAGTACTAATATGGAAAGTATCATGCTAAGCGAAATGAGTCAGAAAGAGAGGGATAGACATAGAAAGATTGCATTCATCTGGGGGATATAAAGTAACAAAGTATGAGATTAATACCCAAGAATAGCTGAGATCAGCACCAGGAGGATTACTCCATAACTTAGAGGCCAGCCGGGTATCCTAGAGGAAAGGGCAGTTCAGATAGAGAAGGGAGCACCAAATAAAGGATGTTTGGAGGATCCTCCCAGGAGGGGAGATGCATGTCGAAAGTAGACTATGGACTGAACATGTTTGCCACTCAATGCCTCTTTTGCAGACCACAACACCCAAAAGGAGAGAGAGAACACAGGGGATTGCCCTGCCACAGAGACAGGGGGGATGGGGGGATGGGGGTGGGAGGGATATTATCCATGGTGGTGGAAAATGGGCACTGGTGGAGGGATGGGTATCTGATCATTATATAATTGAAACCAAAGCACAAAAAATTGTAAATCTACAACTTTAAAAAAAAATAAAATACAATAAAGGGAAAAAAAAAATTCCTAGTACTAATCTCAGCCATTCCTGGGTGTTAATCTCCCTTTTTGTTGCTTTATGTTCCCCAGATGAATGCAATCTTTCTGTGTCTATCCCGCTCTTTCTGACTCATTTCGCTTAACATGATACTTTCCATGTAGTACCACTTGTATGTAAATTTCATAACTTCATCTTTTCTAACAGCTACATAGTACTCCATTGTGTAAATGTACCAAAGTTTCTTTAACCAGTAATCTGTTCTTGGGCACTCAGGTTTTTTCCAGATTCTGGCTATTGTAAAGAGTGCTGCAATGAACAAACAATTGCAGATGTCACTTCGACTATACCTTTTTGCCTCTCTGGGATATATTCCCAGGAGTGCTATAGCTGGGTCAAATGGCAGATCAAATGAGTAGTCTACAGACCAAACATGATTGCCACTCAAAGCCTCTCTTGCAAAACACAGTACCCAAAAGAAGAGAGAGAGAGCAAGGGGGAATACCCTGCCACAGAGGCAGGATGGGACGGGGGGGGATGGGGGGGATGCTGGGACCCGTGGTGATGGATGACGGGCACTGGTGGAGGGATGGGCACTTGATCATTGTATAACTGAAACCCAAGCACAAAATTTGTAAGCCTATAACTGTACCTCATGGTGTTTCACTAATAAAAAAAGAAAAAATAAATAAAATAAAATAAAATAAAAAAAGAAGAATAGCTCCAGGGCAGCATGCTGAGCAAGCAGCCACAGTGAACTGGGAGACCTCTTCTGGACTCAGGTGTCCACATGAACACCCACAGGTATAGCAGGGGCAGGGGACATAGTCTCCAGGGTGGCAGCCTCTCATGCGGTTGCAGTTATTTTCCCCTTTCATAGCTCTCTGGACTTCCATCTCAACCTCCATTACCTAATTCTTACAAAGACAGCCTGGTATCCCAAACACATTAGGCCAATAGTCCACTAGCCTACTCCAATCAAAATACTCCAAAGACTTATCAAAATAATGTTGAACACAAGACTCTGAACAAGCCTAATGTAAAAGAACATCCCCTGAAGCTGCATTAGAGGTCCCACATAAGTCACACAGGAGAACCAAAGAGGAAGTTAGTATTCTTGAAGGGGATAAAAGAGGCCACCATCAACTGAGCTCAGCCAGAAGCCTCCCTTGTAGCAAGAATAGCGAACTGGATGGATCCACCTCCATACTACTTAGCAACATGAAGAAACAGTGCAGAACCCCACCAAAAAAAAAAAGTGAAGCATAGCAGAGACCTGATATCTTAGTGGACTTGGAGTTCTTGCCTTTGTGAAACGTTTTTGTCCTGAAACTCACTATATCTTTGCTTTCTCCCCTAAGAAGCCAGGTCTACCTATCTTGCCTCTTGCCCTCTTCCCCTGAAAATTCTTAGAATTTTATCATTTGTGTCCACAAGTCTCAAGAAGAATACTGAAAACCACAAGAGTACTGAAAACCACAGCAAACCAGGGAAGAGGGCATAGAAAGAGGAGAAAGGGGTGGCCTGTCAGGTGGCTATCTAGGGTACTAGTGTTATGGGGAATAGAAGTACTTCCCATAATAAACCAAAACAATTTTCTAAAATTAACTCTGAAGCATCACCTTAATCTTTTCAGGGATGCCCAAACCAAGGTAATGGGTAGAGAAGAGGACAAAGTCCTTCTCATTTATCTGGAAAATGCTAGGAATCAATATTTTCTTGTACTTGCATGGCACTTGTTACCATTTATTGCACTCAATTTCCTTTCAATCCTTTTATTTTAACTTAAAATATTATCATTCAATATTCAAGGTTTTATGTTAAGCACACTGGTCTTTTTCTTTAGGATACTACCACAAATTCAAGGGTATAAACATTTTTGTGATTTAGCTATTTTTAAATATCTGTTTCATCATTATGCTATAAATTCCATGAAAGGAGGAACCCATCCACTTCCTTCCTCACCTCGATATCAGTACCTACAACATTGCCTCAAAAAGAGTAGTCACCCAATGGGTAACTACAGAAAAAAAAACAAGATGGAGGTCTGGGATCCAGAGTGAATCTTCAATGAATCTTCAGTTTTGCAAAATGAACACAATAGTTGTATAATAGACATGAGCTGAGCTAAAGAAACAGTATAATCAGGAAATACACAGTCTACTTTATGTCAGACTCATGTGCTAAACACTTAATCCTCAAAACAACCCTATGGAATAGGAACTGCTATCATCCCATTTCCCAGATGGGGAAAATGATGCATAACAGTTCACCAACTTATAATTGGCAGGACTGAGATTTAAATCCCAGTTCTCTGCCTCTGCTGTCCATGCCTAACCACTGTAGCACCTTCCAACAATGAGTGTTCAAACTGAGGACTAGAGAGATTAAATGATTTTCAAAGTTGTTATAGGAAGGACATGGTATAGCTGGAACTATTCTTTAGGAGTAGAACCCAGGCCGTCTCTCTGCAATGAATCTACTATTCAACTACATTTAATCTGGCCATTGATAGAATTACTGAGAACAGAAGCACAGGAGGTATCTTTTACCCATGTAAAGTCTCTGTTGAACAAAGTGGCTCACAGGAAATAAGAAGACCAACAGACACTAGGACAGAAACAAGAATGGCAGATGCCCTTTCTTAATCAAGAAAAGACTTTGTATGACTTTTCAGATGTGTTACTTGGGGCTCAAGCCATTTTCTTTGCCTGCACTTAATTAATCCTGTATTCACACAAACATATACATACAAAGCCTTTATAAGGCCATTTTCTGTCTCACTGCAGTTGAACACACATGGAGAATGGATATGTATTAGGGACACTTGATAATGCAAACTGAAATCTGAACTTGCGTAGGAAGATGAGGTGGGGGCAGAGAGCATGGACAGATGGAGGAAAGGTCAGATGAAACCTAAAACCTCTAGCAACAAAACTGACTCACTCAGTGATTAGAAATTAGAGCATAGCACTTGTGATCAGCTCAGCTTTAGAAGTGCTTGCCTTCTGTTTGAGCTTTTTGACACAACAGAACGACACTACTGTCATGGCCTTCTCCAAACTGGATCTTCAGGAGGGCCTTCAAACCCTCTCGGTTATCCAGTGGATCCCAGTCTACATAATTTTAGGTGAGTGAACTAGAGTCTGGAGAGTGGATGGAGACAGACCAAGAAAGAGGCCAGGAATGCATGGATTAAGAGGGCTCTGAAGAGATCATCTTGTTGGTCCTCTCCCTCTAAGAAGGACTGCTTTCCCACTCAGAAAGATGGCTACCAGTAAATCTATCTCCTCCCATCTGTAGGACATGGAGTCCATGATGCAGGCTGTAGCTGTTCTACTTTCAGAATTACTCTAGTCTTTTCAGACTTGTTCCTTTGAACAAATTCAAGTCATATTCAAGAATGGGGACAGAAAGAGGAGTGATGGCTTGTAGAGTTGAAGTTACTGGATAGGCACAAGGTGGTCAGCCACCATAAAACCATGGTATTCCTCAATTTAGAAAAGCTGGGCTGCCCAAATGACTCATTTGTCAGGGTTGAGGGCTTGGGGTATGGAAATCATAAGTGCTGGGCAAATGGGCTGAGAGCTCCAAGTGTTTCTCAGCTGTAAACCAGAGTTTGAAATGGTTTTAAATACAGTAGGTAACTTGGAAACTGGAAGGGGCAAAATTTTATCCTAAAGAGCGAGATAGGTAGGAGGCACCTGATTCCAATCCATGGGAGACTTAGAACCCATGACCACTTAGAACAGAGAACTTCCACGGGGAGCCTATGGGCCTATAAGTGACAAGTGGTTGGACAACTTTGAATTTGAAAAAAAAAGCTTTAAAGAAAAAATTCCTCTTTGTTTTGACTAACCGAAAATTGAAATGATAAATTTACACAGCAGACCACAGAAGTGTTGGCAGTGACCTGTGTATTCATTAGTAATTGGCATCACAGAGATGTGCTAATGGACACAGACTTCTTGAATTTTGTTTATGCTTGTAATTACTTCAAGAATAAAGTAGTTATTGTAACTGACATTAAACCTGGTTATGTACTGCATAAAGTAAGACACACATGTTACTTTATCTCATTTTTTGCAATATTCTTGTGATTGTTTTAATATGATGAGCTTCCTTGGTAAGTCCATGTATTTTATTTTTACATAAAAATTATTCAGGGATAAGGGAGATAATTCAAGTGGTAGAGCACATGACTAGTGTGTGCAAGGCCCGGATTTCGATCCTGCACAATACATAGTGCCCCAAGCACTGCCAGGTGTGACCACTATTTTTAAAAATACAGAGGTCTGCACTGTTAACAATAGCCAAAATTTGGGGAAAAAAAAACGGAGTGCCCGAGAAAAGATGACTGTTTAAAGAAACTTTGGTACATCTACACAATAGAATACTATGAAGCTGTTAGAAAAGATGAAGCCATGAAATTTATATACAAGTGGTTCTACATGGAAAGTATGCTAAGTGAAATGAGCCAGAAAGAGAGGGACAGACATAGAAAGACTGCACTCATCTGGGAAATATAAAGTAACAGAATGGGAGTCGTACACCCAAGAATAGTTGAGATAAGTACCAGGAGGTCTGCTCCAAGGCTTGGAAACTGACAGCACATGCTGGGGGAAAGGGCAGCTCAGATAGAGAAGGGAACACCAAGTAAAGGATATTTGGAGGACTCGCTCAGGATGCGAGATGCATGCTGAAAGTAGACTATAGACCGAACACGATGGCCACTCAATATCTCTATTGCAAACTTCAAGACCCTGAAGGAAAGAGTGAGCAAAAGGGAATGCCCTGCCACAGAAGCGGGGTGCGGTGGGGGGGATGGGGATGGGGGTGGGATGGCTGCTAGGATCATTGGTGCTAGAGAATGGGCATTGGTGGAGGGATGGGTACTCGATCATTGTATAACTGAAACCCAAGTACGAAAGTTTGTAAATCTACAACTACCTCATGGTTTTTCACTAATAAAAAAATACAGAGCTCTGAAAATATTCTAAGAAGGGATCTATAGTCTTAGAGAGAGAACAAAGTTTTCTGTACGCTGTTTTTTCTAAACTTTCACATTTTATTTTTGTTTTCCTGTTTTTCTTTTTTTAATTGTTAATTTTATTTTATAAAATATGAAATTAGCTACCTAGAAGGAAAAAGGTACAGTATAGAATTATATTTTAGATCAGACACTTAAATCCTGTTTTTCGTCATAAAAAATATTTGCTTTGACAATTCTCAACCATCAGCAAGAAAAGTAAAAGGCATAGGAATATCCCTTAGAAACCTGGCATCATGATGACAACTGCCATTTCAAATTGGGTCCCCAGAAAATATGGGCAAAGATAACATATACAGAGAGAACAGGGAAAGGTCAAGAGAGGAAGAGTTGTGAGAGCTGATTATTTCAACTGAGCTGTCTGACCTGCTCCTCCAAAGACTTTGTGTAGACTTGAACACAAGTTCCTGAGTTGTTCTGACTCTTCTGGGAAGCTTTTTTCAATAAGTCATTCTGTTTGGGGATCAGAGAGATAGTACAGTAAGAAACTAGCCTTGCATGAGACTGAACCAGATTTGATCCCAGGCACTGAATATGGTCCCCTGAGCATAGATACAGGAATAAATCCTGAGCACTTCCAGGTGTGCCTTCAAAAAAATGTTGTGCGTCACTCCAGAAAAATATTTTTTTCTTAAGTAGATGTTCTCATTTTATTTTCCTCTTTTCAAGAGACACTGTATTATGATAAGGATGGGTAGGGGGTTATATCCAACATAGAATATATGAGTTCAAAATGGTGCCTCCTAAGTAATGTGTCCTAGTTCCTTTGATATAATTTTCTGGTTTTCAAGGAACAGCTCAAATGGAGTAGGAAGTGTTAGGGAGAAACAATGAAACCCAGGTGTCTTACGCTAAGGTTCATAAGAATGGAAGTATTTTATTTCACCTATATATTTTTTAATAGTTTATTTCTTTATTGAATCACTGTGGGAAAAGTTACAGAGCTTTCGGGTTTAGGTCTCAGTCATGCAAGTATCAAACACTTTTCCCTTTACCAATACCCATTTTTAACCGTGAACCCCAATAGAACCCCACCTCCCACCCCTCCCAATTCCTGTGAGGCAGATGAGTTCTAGTTAATACTCTATCTACTTTGACTAGATACATTGTTTCGATAGAAGATGCACAATTATTGTTTAGAGTTTACGACCCCCCCCAATCAGATATGCTGAAACAGTGTTGTGAAATGATTTGCTTTCTACAGCTTGGTTTAAGAATAAAATGATGACGCACGGCCGCAATAGCGGCCGCGCTGTTTTGGATTTCTGCTGTTTCACTTATTAACCCTGGAAGTATTTCTATTAAAAGTTAGATAGTTAAGAGATTGGTTTCTGTGCTCTGGAGTTGTGGCCGTGCCGGAGAGCCGCTCGTGGGGGGCAGCTGGTGACCTCGGTCGGGCGTGAAGGACGGCCCAGAACGCCCCCCTTCCCATGAGGCCCCTGCTGCCCCCCGCCCCCGGCTCAAACCTGCTGTCCACAAGGCTCCCGTGCGGCCGCCATCTTTCTTTCTTTCACCTATATTTTTAATTTTTAAAAAATTTTGGTAAAATATACAAATATATATATACATAATATAATATTGGTTACTTTTCGCCATTTTAAATGTACAGTTCAGTGGCATCATGTTCATTCAGAGCCAATCAATCAGCAGAACTCTCTGGCTGTGTAACATTTTCATCTTCCTAAATTGAAACCCTGCACTCTTTAACAATAACTCCCCATTTCCCTCCTATCTCAGTCCTAGAAACCACCATTCTTCTTCAGTTCCTGTGAATTTGACTACACTGGGTATCTCAGATAAGTGGCATATAAACTGTTTTCCACTGATAGCTAGTTTATTTCACTTAACATAATGTCTTCAAGGTATATAATGTCCACATTATATCACAGGCAGAATTTCTTTCATTTTTAGACAGTTATTTCTTGAATGTATAGAACACATTTTGTTTATCTAATTTATATATGGATGCTTGGGTTGTTTCCACCTCTTGGAACTTGTGAATAACACCACTATGAACATGGGCATTCGAATATCATGTTGAAATCCTGCTACAGAAGTGAGATTGCTGGATCATATGGTAGTCCAATTTTTTTTGGAATAGCTGTCCTACTGTTTTCCACTCCACATTTCTGCCAACAGTGTACAAGCAGTCCAGTTTTCCGTATCATCTCCATTACTTTTTTAAAAGCACCATGATTTACAATACTATTAATGGTGGGTTTCATGCCTAGTACTTTGAAATTTTATGCTTTCTTTTATTTTGAAAAAAATGGATTTTTAATGGTTATTTTTTGTTCTTTTTGATGTGTGCTAGACCCACTAGTGTGAGGTTGTTTTGATTTGCATTTCCCTGATGATCAGTGATGCAGAACTTTTTTTTTTCAGAATACCTATTGGTCACCTGTCTTCCTTGAAGCTTCTGGCACACATCAAAAAGAACAAAAATAACCATTGCTGGCACAGATATGTGGAAAAATAAATGCTTATCTGTTAGTGGGAATGTCTTGTGATTCCATCCTTTTGGAAAACAATATGGACATGTCTCCAAAAGCTAATAATTAAGCTTCAATATGATCCAGAAATGTCACTTCTTGTCATCTACACCAAGGGCTCAAAAACTCTATCAAGAAAAGACATTTGCACTCCTGTGTTCATTGCAGTACTGCTCACATTAGTCAAAATGAATAAGCCAAGTGTTTAAGAATAGAGTAAGTTTTATATAAACATATATAGAGTATGTTTTATATATGTATACACACAAAATGGAAGACTAATTGATATAAGAAAGAGCAGTTTTCTGCTATGTGAGTGGAACTTGAGGGTATCATGCTCACTGAAGTCAATTAGAAGAGAGAAACAGACATAATTTGACCTTTCTTATATGTGGTATATAAAGAAGCACATTAGGGTAATAAAAAATGTCCCAGAGTAACAGGATCTGTGAACTGATCTGCAGAACTGAGCTTACCATGGTGAGGAGACAAGGATGGGTGAGGTAGGGAGTTTGAGGAGGGTACCCTGAGACAGTGGTGGAGGGAAACGGATGCTTTGATAGAGAGAGTGTGGTATTAAAATATATG